TATATAAATAAATTATACAATAAAAATACATCACAATTAATAAAACTTTAACTAATATTTAAATAAAAAAATAAAAAAATCTATTAATGAAAAATATATGAAAACCAAAAATATTAATGAAAACTATAATTGTATCTCAATGCAGTCATAAAATCATGGACTGTCCACCCAAAATCCAATCACGATATGCATTTAGATATGCATGTTAATACCAAGTAAAAAAACAACAACGTATCTCGCCTAACCACTGGCGATCAGATCACTCGAGATAGATATTAGTAGCAGGTGTAATCCTGGTCACAGCAGGTGTTGACTGAGAAATCTCTCCACTCTTACCCAGCAGCGCTGACTGGCCATCACCCAGCGGGAAGCGCTGGTAGCGCGGCACGCTAAACGGTGGCATCAGGTGGAAGCGCTTCTCCAGCAGAGGCTCCAGACGTGAGGCAGAGGGATCCGCCGGGTGGAACAGGTTGTAAACCTGCTGGCACGCTGGACGAAGATGAGCCACTGTAGGAGGGAAGAATACAAAAGAAAGAAAGAAATGTGTTAAATTGATCTAAAATTCTGGTATACATTTATTATATAATATATATATATATTTTACTCAGCTGGTTTGTTATAGCTCACTTATACACTATAGTTCAAAAGTTTAGGGTTGGTAAGATTTTTTAATATTTTGAAAGAAGTCTCTTCTGCTCTCTAAGACTGTATTTATTTGATGAGAAATACAGCAAAAACCGTAATATTGTGAAATATTATTACAATTTAAAACAACTGTTTTCTATTTGAATATATTGTAAAATGTAATTTATTCCTGTGGTCAAAGCTGAATTTTCAGCATCATTACTCCAGTCTTCGGTGTCACATGATCCTTCAGAAATCCTTCTAATATGTTGATTTGCTGCTCAAGAAACACTTTTTATTATTATTCATTAATGTTGAAAACAGTTGTGCTGGGTAATATTTTTGTGGAATCTGATAAATGTACTTTTTCAGGAATCCCTGAGAAATAGAAAGCTCAAAAGAACAGCATTTATTCGAAATAAAAATATTTTATAACAATTATTCTCAACATATAGCGCGATCTGAACCCTAAACACGTTTAGTCAAAAAAGCCGGTTTTGTCCAATTTCAAGGCGTCGCGAGTTCACGTTTTACTACAGAAGCCGACAAGCGCCCTTGTTGTTTTTGAACAGAAGCCGATAAGTCCATTTTAGCGAATCAGCGTGCTGTATTCAGGTCAGGTGACAAGGCTACTTTCACTTTGAAAAGACGTGCTAGCTGAGAGGAGTTTCGTCAAAGCTGATTAAAAGTGATCGAGGATGGATCATTTCGAAGAACCTGATGAACCTGTGATATCTTCTTCAGGGCGAAAAAAGAAAATAAAAGCTGAAACGTTTTCACGAAACCTTGCAAAAGCAGCGCGTTACAATGGTGAGGAAAAAGCTCCGTGTATTGCGTGTAATAATCACCATACAGTTTATGATCACAACAACAACAACGTTTGTCAGGCATCTACATTGTCATCTGAGGAGATATTTTTTTTTTTTTTTTTCTCAGCTAGTTCACTTGTTCAAAAGTTTAAAAGTTAGGGGTTGGTAAGATTTTTTTTTCTTCACGTTGATAAGAAGTCTCTTCTGCATTTATTTGATGAAAAATACAGCAAAAACAGTAATACTGTGAAACATTATTACAATTTAATATAACTGTTTTTTTATGTTAATATATTGTAAAATGCAATTTATTCCTGTGATGCAAAGCTGAATTTTCAGCATCATTACTCCAGTCTTCAGTGTCACATGATCCTTCAGAAATCATTCTAATATGCTGATTTGCTGCTCGAGAAACATTTCTGATTATTATCAATGTTGAAAACAGTTGTGCTGGGTAATATTTTTGTGTAAACTGATACATTGACTTTTTCAGGATTCCTTGAGGAATAGAAATTCAAAAGAACAGCATTTGTTCAAAATATTTTGTAACATTATTAATGTCTTTACTGTCAATTTTGATCATTTTAATGCATCCTTGCTGGATAAAAGTACTCATTTCTTAAAAGAGAAAAAAAAACGTACTAACCCAAATCTTCTGAACAGCAGTGTGCTTTCTTTTTTTTTCACCATAAACTAGCTAAAAAAATTTTGCAGTTTATGTTATTCCTTCATTATTTCATTCGACACATTGCTCCTTGTGTTAGTTTTGTCTGACGAGCTCTACATAACAGATGTTGGACTGGGAAACTCCCGTCAGCATAATGTTCACTTTCTAGCCCTCTAAAACAATCGCTCATAATCTGCCGGCAACCGATTTAAGTTGCTTATCGGATTAATACATTTGAAGCCTTTAAAAGATTTGAAACACTGGACATCAGAACAAAAACAGCACGAACAAAAGAGATTACACAGTCCAGGTAATCCATCAGAGGAAGTCACACTTCAAATGATCGCTTTGGCATCCAGTCTGCACAGGATTTCATTCTCTTTCATCCACTAGAAACTAAAATAAGAGTATTCAAGGTTAACATACTGTCCAAAGAAGGGACGACGGTTTTCCTCAGAGCGAGGACCAGGCCTAGCGGAGAGCCGAAGAGGAAGAAGTCAGATGCTTCGAAGTCAAACTTTCCCAGAGCTCCTCCTCCCTCTAGCATGGTACTGCTGCTGGACCGGCGAGAACCCGGATCGTTCCTCAAAACGCTGGCGTGCAGACTACATACACACAATTTACATAATTATTTATTATTATTATATATTTTTAGAATGGTTTTAACTATATTATTACAACCACACTGATACAGAAATGTCAGGAAATGTATAATCTAAAAATAATAAAATAAAATAAATTCTAAAATTCTAAATTAATATTCATTTTTAAACAAAACTATTGCAGAGTTCATACTTTTTGTACAAAAAATGATTATTAGGTTTTATGATTACTAGAGAAGTATTTTTTACTTAAATACTTTTGATTCAGATAAATTTGCTAAAGAACCATTTCGATTTTTGAACCACTTTGATTGATTCATTTAAAAGATTCGACTGAAAAAAATTCTTTAAAAAGATTTACAATTTGAATAAATACTCATTTTTTAAATAAACTATTGCAGGGTTCACACTCTTTGCACAAAATAAAATTCCATGACCATAAACGAAAAGTTTATGAATACTGGAGAAGGATTTTTGTCCTTAAATAATTTTGATTCAGATCAGTTTGCTAAAGAATCATTTAGATTTTTGAACCACTTTAACTGATTCATTTTTGACCACTTTGACTGTGATTCATTTGATTCAAAAGATTTGACCGAAAAGAATGTTTTACTCTACTCAAGATGTAAATCTAGTCAATGTATTGTATTGTAATATTGAAATATTTACTACATATTTTTTCATGAATTTTACATTCATGTAAAATTTTTTCATGCATTTTTCAGGACTGGAAAGCAATTAAATAAATATTACTATTTTCAGGTTTTCCATGATCACGAAAACACTCAATAATATATAATATTATCAAATATATATAATAACGTATCAACAATTTTAAAGTATCTTGTATTTTTTCCATGACCATAAACGAAAAGTTTATGAATACTGGAGAAGGATTTTTGTCCTTAAATAATTTTGATTCAGATCAGTTTGCTAAAGAATCATTTAGATTTTTGACCACTTTGACTGATTCATTTGATTCAAAAGATTTGACCGAAAAGAATGTTTTACTCTACTCAAGATGTAAATCTAGTCAATGTATTGTATTGTAATATTGAAATATTTACTACATATTTTTTCATGAATTTTACATTCATGTAAAATTTTTTCATGCATTTTTCAGGACTGGAAAGCAATTAAATAAATATTACTATTTTCAGGTTTTCCATGATCACGAAAACACTCAATAATATATAATATTATCAAATATATATAATAACGTATCAACAATTTTAAAGTATCTTGTATTTTTTTTACACCTGGGATTTATTGTTTGAAATATAAAAATAATCCCCGATATCATCTGCTAAAGAAATGTTAATATTGACCAATTCCATGATAAACTATCAGCTGTGGCTCACCTGGTCAGGAAGGCCTGGTGCTGTTTGATGGTGTCCAGCTCGTAGGTGGAGGAGTCGCTGCGTTTGCGGGGCAGCTGTTTTTTGGGGTCGTCCGGACCGCTGGAACAAGGAATGTCTATATTACTGCGGCTGAGGTGCCGACTGCCCTCCAGAGTCAAACCCGAGCAGTGAGTGCTGTTTATAATGATCCCCGGTGACAGCAGGTCATTGTCCTGCAGAGGAAGCGAATGAGTGATTAGTATTACAGCGGTCATGTGATGGAAAACAGCATTTTTCTTGCTCTTTTGAAATGAAAGAGTTTGATGTGTCACACTTTCAAATACAAAAGGATGCAATTTGTCTTATCTGTTATGTTGTGATGTATTAAGGGTAATTAATCACTGTCTGGATGTGTGTGTGTGTGTTCACCTGCACACTAACAATGCTGCCACGTCGGCTGCTGTTTTGACTCTCTGACACGGTGACGTTGCTGCTGCAGAGAGCATCAAATCCCAGAATGCCTCCCACACAGTCACCAATCAGACACACCTGCACAGAGACACGCATTACATCACATACAGAGAGTCATGTGCTGGGCAACGAATGAGGGAAATGACCATTTAAAAACAACATTCACAACACTTCCATGATGTGATGCATAACGTCACTGTTGCTAGCATGGCTTATCAAATTGCTTGCATGTTTTAAAATGTTTCCAACATGATTTAACACATTGCTAAAAAACCCCAAAGTACTGACCTGTCCGGTGAAAGTGGCTCCCTCCAGGGATTTGATGAAGTCACCGTAGATCTGATTGGCTCGCACTATGACCGTTGCCACGGCGTCCTGGTACTGTGGTGCAGAGGTGGCCAATAGGGGCAGGGCGGCCAGAGGGATGTGATCCTGACTGTTGGAGAGGCAGCCTTCGTCATAGCTGTAAGGACTCAAACTGAGTCAAGGACACAAGAACAGAGAGCATGCTGGGTCATTACCAGCCACAAACACTCTTATACACTGGATTAGCACGTAGAACGGCATACTACCATACTAGTCTTTCTGCAGTATCCATGCAACACTCATATAACCTACTACATTTGCCAAAACGTGCAGAGAGCGCACAGCACTGAATACTCTATCCCACAATGCAATGTGTTTTCAAAGGTGTAATGAATTAATCAATATCAAAAGAAACTTGACATCTTTTTTCACTCCTTATTTGACTGGACTGCGAAAAAATAAAACTATCAGCTGTGGCTCACCTGGTCAGGAAGGCCTGGTGCTGTTTGATGGTGTCCAGCTCGTAGGTGGAGGAGTCGCTGCGTTTGCGGGGCAGCTGTTTTTTGGGGTCGTCCGGACCGCTGGAACAAGGAATGTCTATATTACTGCGGCTGAGGTGCCGACTGCCCTCCAGAGTCAAACCCGAGCAGTGAGTGCTGTTTATAATGATCCCCGGTGACAGCAGGTCATTGTCCTGCAGAGGAAGCGAATGAGTGATTAGTATTACAGCGGTCATGTGATGGAAAACAGCATTTTTCTTGCTCTTTTGAAATGAAAGAGTTTGATGTGTCACACTTTCAAATACAAAAGGATGCAATTTGTCTTATCTGTTATGTTGTGATGTATTAAGGGTAATTAATCACTGTCTGGATGTGTGTGTGTGTGTTCACCTGCACACTAACAATGCTGCCACGTCGGCTGCTGTTTTGACTCTCTGACACGGTGACGTTGCTGCTGCAGAGAGCATCAAATCCCAGAATGCCTCCCACACAGTCACCAATCAGACACACCTGCACAGAGACACGCATTACATCACATACAGAGAGTCATGTGCTGGGCAACGAATGAGGGAAATGACCATTTAAAAACAACATTCACAACACTTCCATGATGTGATGCATAACGTCACTGTTGCTAGCATGGCTTATCAAATTGCTTGCATGTTTTAAAATGTTTCCAACATGATTTAACACATTGCTAAAAAACCCCAAAGTACTGACCTGTCCGGTGAAAGTGGCTCCCTCCAGGGATTTGATGAAGTCACCGTAGATCTGATTGGCTCGCACTATGACCGTTGCCACGGCATCCTGGTACTGTGGTGCAGAGGTGGCCAATAGGGGCAGGGCGGCCAGAGGGATGTGATCCTGACTGTTGGAGAGGCAGCCTTCGTCATAGCTGTAAGGACTCAAACTGAGTCAAGGACACAAGAACAGAGAGCATGCTGGGTCATTACCAGCCACAAACACTCTTATACACTGGATTAGCACGTAGAACGGCATACTACCATACTAGTCTTTCTGCAGTATCCATGCAACACTCATATAACCTACTACATTTGCCAAAACGTGCAGAGAGCGCACAGCACTGAATACTCTATCCCACAATGCAATGTGTTTTCAAAGGTGTAATGAATTAATCAATATCAAAAGAAAACTTACAACTTTTTTCACTCCTTATTTGACTGGACTGCGAAAAAATAAAGACATTTTACACAAAACTGGATGTTTGGGAGTTTTTTTGCTAACTGGTTACATAACGACTGGATGTTACTTATTGAATTAAACATGTTATACAGTGTCATTGACAATGTAGCATACTATTTAAGTGATTTATATATATAATTTTATAACTTTCAGATTTGGTGCAAAAACAATAAAGATCTCAGACTGAAACACATTTGGATATCATTACACTGTATACTAACTAATAAAAAACTAATATAATTCAAATTTAAAATAAAAACAAATATAATTCAAATATACCAATAAAGATTGGTATATCTTTTTTTTATTATTATTTTTTATTATAAAGTTATAATAATAAAAATAAATAAGTATTTATTGTTATTATCATCATCATCATCATCATCATTAAAAAAAAATAATTAATTAACTAGTTGATTAATTGCAGGGACTTTCTGAAAGCATTAACAATAATTTTAATCTATTTTTCTCCTATACAAAATAAATAAAAACATTAATTAATTCATTTATTTCTTGATTAAAAATTATTAATTAATTAACTAATTAGTAAGTAAATAAATAAAATAAAGGACTTTCTTGAAACATTATTAAGCGATAATTTATCTATTTTTTATACCAAATAAATAAAATTATTTATCATCATTACTTCAGAATAATAAACAATTATTAAGTAAATAAATAAAAATTAAATTCTGGAAACATTATTATGCTATAATTTTAATCTATTTTTCTATATCAAATAAACAAAAGTATGTATGCATGTATTTATTTATTTATTGAAAATAAATTAATTAATTAATTAATGTATTTATTACAGGGACTTTCTGGAAACATTATTAAGAAATAATTCTAATCAATTTTTTCTATACCAAATAAATAGAATTATTTATTACTACTATATAATAATAATACAATTATAAAATAAAATAATAAATCAAATGTGTTGCCAGTTTAAGTTAACAACACAACTGAATGACTACCAGAGGTCTTGTTGATTTTCCTGGAGGTGGATTGAGTGTGTGTTCATACTCACTTTGACACCAGAGAGAAGGCCTCCACACACAAGGCCGGACACGGAACCAGGCGGATGGCAATGCGGCCCAAAGCAGTGGGGTAATGAACCCGCATCACAGCATCGAACGCGCTGCTGATGGTGTTGACGTCCCCCTGCTTGCTGTTCTGGTCTCCGCTGCCCGTATCCAGGATGTTGCCGCCGTGCAGGACCAGGATGAGGACGTGGATCTTGGACGGCTGTAAGCACTGCTGTGAGGAACAGTCCTGAGGGAAACATTTGGACAGCTGTTCATTCTGCAGCTGCATACGGTTCGTTTAAAACATCCACACACACTCGTGACAACATGCTATTTTGAAATAGGACGACTTACTAATAAACAACACAGTACAGAACGCAACAGCAGGCTTCCGGAAGTAAAAATCCCATTCAAAATCTCCATAGATATTTAAATTTTCAGTTAAAACACAGACATATGTTTCACTAGAAACCACGTCACAAGTGTGTCGACTCAGATGACCATAGCTAAAATTAGCTACCTATATTTCATTAGTAAATGTGAGGCTGCTGTGGTGTTAAAAATAAAATAGCATAAAATATACTGTAGCAGTGGTGATTTCTAATAAGAAGCTCTTATTATGTTGATTATGATATTTTGGCTGACTTCACTGTCATACAAATTATTGCTCGTTAATTTTTATGCTCAATATCCAAAATAATTATGCATAAACGTTTAATCTTATTTGTTCATGCTAGTTGCATGTACAGATGTTTAATATTCAAAATAATATGCTTAATAATAAAACTAAAATTTACAGCCTACGTCCTTCATAGACACTGCTGTGATTTAGGTAAAAAACGCATAAATACTCAGTACATATCAAACGATCTGTAATAACAGACAAAGCAAAAGTGAGCACGTAATAAAAACAGTTACTCGCACTTGTGTGGTGCGACATTACTATCGGATCCAACATATTCCGCACAGCATCGTCTTTTAGTTTAAATCTTTCTGGAAATTGTCTTGTTTGTAAACGAATCCACAGTAAAATGTGGATTTTAAAAAAGTGAAAAAAGGACCAAGTTCTTACTGACGATCTGGATCTTCATTAAAAATAAAGTTCATCCACTCTTTCCTAATGTTGAGATCAGAAGGAAGGGGATGCAAAGACTGTGTTTTTCCACAACTTGGCACTGAACAGCCTCTTGTTTTTGGAGCATCTTTGTTGTACGTGCGCGAAACAGTGGCGGGGCTAAACAGGAAGTGATGTAGAATCAGTGGGCGGGGCTAAACAGGCAGTGAAGTAGAATCAGTGGGTGGGGCTAAACAGGCAGTGATGTAGAATCAGTGGGAGGGCTAAACAGGCAGTGATGTAGAATCAGTGGGAGGGCTAAACAGGCAGTGATGTAGAATCAGTGGGAGGGCTAAACAGGCAGTGATGTAGAATCAGTGGGAGGGTTTTAAAAAAGTGAAAAAAGGACCAAGTTCTTACTGACGATCGGGAGCTTCATTAAAAATAAAGTTCATCCACTCTTTCCTAATGTTGAGATCAGAAGGAAGGGGATGCAAAGACTGTGTTTTTCCACAACTTGGCACTGAACAGCCTCTTGTTTTTGGAGCATCTTTGTTGTACGTGCGCGAAACAGTGGCGGGGCTAAACAGGAAGTGATGTAGAATCAGTGGGCGGGGCTAAACAGGCAGTGAAGTAGAATCAGTGGGTGGGGCTAAACAGGCAGTGATGTAGAATCAGTGGGTGGGGCTAAACAGGCAGTGATGTAGAATCAGTGGGAGGGGCTAAACAGGCAGTGATGTAGAATCAGTGGGCGGGGTTAAACAGGCAGTGATGTAGAATCAGTGGGCGGGGCTTAGCAGGCAGTGCTGTAGAATCAGTGGGAGGGGCTTAGCAGGCAGTGATGTAGAATCAGTGGGAGGGGATAAACAGGCAGTGATGTAGAATCAGTGGGAGGGGCTAAACAGGCAGTGATGTAGAAGCAGGCGTTGATCTTCTTCTGCGGAGGCGGGGTTTACCCGCTCTATTACGCCATAAAGTGTCACATTCCACAAGCTGTCGTTTTGGCAGATCGGCTTCAATATAAGCTGTTTTTGGACTAACGAGAAAGTTTTGAGTTCTGAAACTTACAGGATGTTTTCACAGTACAATGACCTCTTATATGTCACAAGATCAAGGGAATTTTGATTTCTCAGTTCATGACGCCTTTAATATTTTTATATTTTATTTTATAATTTTATATCATTAGTTAATGCATTAATTGAAATTAATTAACAATGACCAATACATTTGTTACAGTATTTTTTAATCTTTGTTAAATTTAGTTAAAAAACAAACAAACAAACATAAATGTTCATTGTTAGTTCATGTTAGCTCAGGTACATTAAATTAAGCTACCAGATACAACTTTTATTTATTTTAATAATTTATTAAATATTACTAAACGTTGAAATTAACATTAACAAAGACTAAGCATTTTTGTTTGTTTGTTTGTTTTTTAGTTCATGGTAACTAATGTAGTTAACCTAAATATATTGTAGAAACTTAATTTTCTTTAAAGCTGCTTTGCAACGATTTGTATCACGAAAAGCGCTATACAAACAAACTTTAATTTAATTGAATTAACCCATGTTAACAAATGGAAGCTTGTTGTAAAGCATTGCCAAATATTAAATATGAATAAATGTATTGTTATTGTTAATATTATTATTATTTTAAGTTTGATTTTAAATATTTATATGTATTAAATAACAATTATAAAAATAAAAAAAAACATTATTTAAACTTTATCTTCTCCTCTATAATGGCCAAAAATGTTTGGTATTATGCACATGTGAAACTAATTGAATAATGAATCTAGACTGCATTAATTTCACAAACTGTACCATAAACCTTCAGAGCTCCAGAAACATATACATTTTGTGATGTGTTTTTGAGACGAATGGGAAAAACACTTCCAGAACCCAGACTGCCGAAAAAGCAGTCATCACCGTTGTCTTAATAAAAATTGTTTCGATAAAACCTCTACGCTACAGAAGAACTACATGTCTACATCTGAAGAGTGTGTCTACTTTACAAAACAACACTTCTGATACCATAAAATGCTGTTTGAGGGTAGGGCTGGGCGGTATATCGAGTTTGTACGATATATTGTAGCGATATGGTATGAAGCAATACCATTTATATCGATATACAGTAGTTTGATACAAGCACATCTGAATAACAGCAGAGGACGCAGAGTGAACTGCTGCAGGAAAACTGCATAATCCAGTTTGTTCTAAACATGAGACATGCTTTATATTAAGGGCTTTAAAATAACTGATAAAATATAGTAACACGTCTAGTTTAAAGCGGCTCGCACCATCAGATGCTCTGACAGACATGTGCTGCTGATAGAGATGCTACTTGTGCTGTTTAATGTGTTTGAGATGTGCTCTTTTCCTCAGTGCATAACTTACATTTCACAGGTATATTCTCCATCTGTAAATGCTAGAAAGTCATAGAAATATTTCCATCTTGCTGTCAGGAGCGCATGAGCCTTCTGCGTGTGATTCTCCGCTAAACTTCACTAAACGCATGCGCACCAAACAGACGGACCGCAATGGAATAGCAGCTCAATAATTCTGACTAAAATATACATTTTGCTAAAATATTTGAAGTTGGACAATAAATGTAAGTAAGTGTATTTTATGATAGCAGTAACTGTAAAGTGAATATTGTAATGGGCTAATCAAAATATAATGCAATTAATCTGTGCTTTTGTTTTTATTTCTTTTCATTTTTTGCTTTTCAACTTTAGTTCTTCAAATATAAGCATTAAATTATAAGCATTAAATTAAGTTAAATATAAGCATTCAGTTATTAAATTAAGCAAATTACTATTAATAATATTAATATTAAAAATTATATTTTTATATATCAAATATATTTATAAATGGTTAAATAATATGATTATTTTAGAATTTTTTATTATTACTGAAAGAAACCTATTGTTAGACTTTCATTTTTCAACATGGGTTTCATAAGTGTAAAAACCTCCATGGCCTGTGAGTCCGTCTCGCAAACAGCATGGAATTCAGTGTAATTAGTGTTCCATAATCTCACACTCTTTGACACAGACCCTAACCTCCTCAGAGTCAATGGGGCTCCTTTACCGCTAATCCTATTAAAGATGTGAAAATCTCTGAATTTGGAGGATGAATGGAAAAAAACTCCTTCCAGCGGGCTCGGCTTATGCATTACAAAACCAAAGCATTAATAAATGTAAGTAAGTGTATTTTATGATAGCAGTAACTGTAAAGTGAATATTGTAATGGGCTAATCAAAATATAATGCAATTAATCTGTGCTTTTGTTTTTATTTCTTTTCATTTTTTGCTTTTCAACTTTAGTTCTTCTGCTTTAAAAAGCATAGTTTTTGTTTTTAGATTGTAATGTTACAATGTAATGTGATTTTAGGCCTTTTTTTTTGCACACAATAGCCCATAGCCTATATGGTTACTTTCACTATATTTGTTTTCATTGTCTTTAATACAAACATTATTTCATTGGACAAAATTGGGCAGTATTAAATAAATAAATATTTTTAATGCAAATAGAAAAATTTAGAAAATACCAAAATATACACCGTTCATCGCAATTCAGCCAAAAAATACCAAGATGTGATTTTTTGGCCATATCGCCCAGCCCTATTTCAGGGTAAAGATAACTAAACTCTAAGCAAAAACAACACAATCTGTATGAATAACTGCAACAATACAGCAAAACGCCTTTGATTCTACATAACTTATGCTGATGTAAACAGACAGGTGTCGCTGTGACTCACAGCTGGGCGTTTGCGTGCTGTACGTCGACGCTTACGGACGCTGCAGCGCCGCATGGATCTGCGTCTCTGCGGACCAGAGTTAAAGAGCACTGAGATCATCCCAAAGGCCCTCAACCCCTGATCGTGCTCTTCCACCACACGTCCCCATCAAACCCTTCACACCATGAGAACTTGACCTTATGACTATATACTGAGCCGACCTTTGCAGTGACAGACCGCAGTTTCATTTTGTCAAAGGTCATAGGGATTGTTCAATGATAGTGTGGCGCTGATGCAAAATGAAAGCGTTGTTGCATAACATATCCTCAGAGAAGCTCTAATGCTTTTTGTACCCATTTTTATGTTGGCATAAACACAGCATGACTATTGCAGAATTTCTGCTCCATTGGCACGAGTACAGATCAATGCATTTTTCACTGCTGCAGTTGCATTAACAGTACGACACAGCTGCATAAATATGCATTATGTAACGTTTATGTTGAAGTATATTTCCATTCATTTTAATGGGAAAGTGTGCACAAAAATGCACAACTGCAGACATACCTCATTGAGTCGCTCCACGCTGGCAGTCCCAGAAAACTCCCCACCCGATTCCTGATAGTCTCCTAAAAACATAAAATTGAAATCTAACATCAATGCGCTTAATGCAGGGGGAAAAAATATTCACATATGCATCATGATTCTTTCTCAAACTAATATGCATTGATGGAAAATAAAAAAATAACATAATAAAAAGGACTAAAAATAATTGTATTTATATTAATAAAAACTGAACTATTAATAAAAATAATAATGTATTAAGATAATTGTATTAATTATAATAACTAATTAATTTAAGTATAATATATATATATATATATATATATATATTTATAACCAACTAATTATGTTCTTAAATTCAATGGCTATGTTTCAAGATCCAGCCAATTCCTGATGAATAAAATCAAGTTCCTTCCCCATTTACTGTTGTATTTACTCTAAATTACAGTTTAGAGTCTTCAACAGAAGGGCATGTTTCTTTGACACAGACCCTAACCTCCTCAGAGTCAATGGGGCTCCTTTACCGCTAATCCTATTAAAGATGTGAAAATCTCTGAATTTGGAGGATGAATGGAAAAAAACTCCTTCCAGCGGGCTCGGCTTATGCATTACAAAACCAAAGCATTGGAAAAAATGCTTTGCATCACCTGCCTTGGGGGCCCAAAATACCCCCCTACAATCTGAGAGCGTGTCGGATGGGTGAAGACAATCCCTGCATACCCTGGGCTTCCTCTGCCTCCGCTGTCTCGATTTTATCCATCAGATCGTTGGAGCTCCATTTGGTGATCTCCTTGGCAAAGATCTCCTCGTTGTCAGAGAAGCCCTCTGAGGAACAAGGATTCAGACTTTAGTAAATAACAGATTGCCATGAGCACCTTCTAAAACCGAGGATCAAACCTGCATTACCGTGAGCGTCAAAGAACTCGTCGTCTGTGCTGTCCTCCGAATCTCTGGCGATGCTCTGCATGCGCCATTCAGAAATGCTGTGGCGTGACGGACTTCCTGCACACGCACACATTAAAGACAAATAATAAATCATGTTAGTTCTGTAATCCAAAGCTTAATATGAAATCCCCTCACCCCCCAAAAGACACTTAACAAATAAATAATATTGAAAAAAAATTTCACAAAATATAAAAAGCAACATATAATATAATGCAATATAATTATGAAATATTATTACAGCTTGAAAGAACAGTTTTTTTTATATATATTTTAAAAACTCCCACTCGATTCTTCATAGTCACTTAGAAACTTAAAGGGGTCATATGAAGTGTTACAAGCTCTTGGTGCATAAAGAAGATCTGTAAAGTTGCAAAGACTAAAGTCTCAAATCCAAAGAGATATTCTTTATAAAAGTTAAAAGGGTCATATTCATCATATGACCCCATTAAAATTGAAACATAAATTAATACGCTTAATGCATGGAATGCATTCTCAAACTAATATGCATTGATGAAAAATAAAAAAGAACATAATAATAATGACTAAAAATAATTGTATCAGTATTAATAAAAACCACCATTTATCATTAATGAATTAATTATAATAATAACATATATATACATATTTAAAACACAGATATGTATAATAATATACATATACACTTTTCAATTAATTTAAATACATAATTCATACATTTAAATATATTATACATAATATAAAATTGTTTATATATATATATATATATATATATATATAAATCAGTGTTATACTATTATATTAATAAATTGTTAATACTAAAATAAACTATTTAAAAAAGAATTTCATAATATTATGAAATATTGCAATTTAAAAATAATTTAATATTTTAAAATATAATTTAATGATGCAAAGCTGAATTTTCAGCATCATCATTACTCCAGTCTTCAGTGTCACATGATCCTTCAGAAATCATTCTAATATGCTGATTTGCTGCTCAAGAAACATGTCTGATTACTATCAATATTTAAAGTAGTTGCACTGATTAATATTTTTGTGAGAAACTGAAAACATAGCTTTTCAAGATTCTTTGCTGAAAGTTCAGAATAGGGCTGCACGATAAATCGCATGCGATATTTAACGCGCATCTTGTCAGAAAAGCCGGTTCTGTAATCAGAAAGTTCAAAAGAGCAGCATTTATTTGAAATAAAAATATTATGTAACATGATAGAGTCTTTACTGTCACTTTTGATCAATTTAATGAATCTCTCTCTCTCTCTCTCTATATATATATATATATTATCATACATACATACAACCATATATATGTGTCTATATATAGTATGGCGATGTGAACTTACCCCCTCTCTTAGAGGAATGTGAGGACCTAGAAGAGGTGGACCACTGCTTGGTCAGCTCTCCTCGCGCCTGCAGCGTGTCCCCCATGTTCCTCGTCGTCCCCTCAGCTTCGATGGCCTCCTTGGCTTCGTGCTCTTTCTCGGGGCTGGTGACGGCGCCGTTGTTCTCGCCACCCTCCTCGTTGCAGCTATACTGTGCCATCTTCTGTGCCAGAGCCAGCTGCGTCTCCAGCTCCAGCTGCCGGATGTTCTCCATGGTCAGACCGTACCACTCGTCCTGCCAACACCAGGCCTGCCGATGAGCGCGCACCATCACCTTCCTCAGCCCTGATGGGAAGATGTTGCGAGATTAATGCTCACCATAACACAGGCAAGTGTAACCGTTTACGTTTAAACTAGTTTAGGGGGGAAAAACTAATGCTTGCAGTACATTTTTACATCTTCTGAACGAAATGCGAGTAGTGTTTGCCCATGCAAAAGTCAGCAGCCCAATGTTCTGAATGGTTTTTAATGCATTCATATGTGGTTGCTAACTTGTTCTGGATGGTTGCTAGGTTTACGAGTTGAGTACAGCACTTACATGCTAGGAAAAAAAGAGCCTCAGACAACAGATGGTGATAAAATGTAACACGTTACTTTCCATGAGAAGTAACAAAGTAACATAATTAGTAACATTTATATGAGTAATGTTCATTTTTAAAGAAATATTTCTCAATACTGCTATCAACCAAGGAGACTGCTATGAAATGCTATTATAGTTTTTGTTAATATTTTGAATTACATTTTTATTGTTATATTTTCTGTTTTCATTTTTTTTCATTGCTTCATTTTTAGCATTTTTTGTCAATTTTATATATTTTTTTATTGTTTATTGTTATATTTTTAATATTGTTTTTTCCTCCCAATACATTTTAGTTATTTTAGTACTAATGAAAATGAGAAATGTTCAATGCCTAGCTGAAATAAAATATTTTTTTATTTAATCTTATTATTTCACGTAATGAAAATGTTTTTTTATGGTTTTAGTTTTAGTTAACTATAATAACCCTGCTTCACTGATGAGTCTGTATGTGAGATCGCTTGACATTTGGGGTCAATGTGTGGTTTGGCTTATTTCCTTGTGCGATTTCCTCGCCTGATTAAGATGTGCCAAAGACGCACTTAACCAGTCTTTCAGATAACTGAACTTGGTAATGAAGAGACATGCAAACAAAATTGTTTTCACAGCGGCCAGGAAACAGCGAGAGGAAAAATGGATAAAAATAAAAGGAAATCAGCCAAAGGGAAAGAGTTTCATAAATGGGAAACGGCAACAGTCAGCTTGCAAATTATCAGAGAATGGAGCCAATAAACAAGCCGATATCGAAGTAATGAAAAAGATTAAGCGGAGAACGAACGGCACATAGAAAGGAAATTAATTTTGCCCTGATGTAGTCAGGAGGAGGCGGTTCTCTGAGCGTTGATTTTCACTGGAGCCACACTGCATCAATCTTGTTTTCATTAAGTGCAGGTTAATGATTAAGGGCTTTTTTCCTGACAGAACGCTTGACACCTGCTGCCCACCCACGCACAACGATAACAGGACGTTACCAAGCATCATTTCGCGCACATATGCAGCAGATGGATCAGCTGACTCATATAGAATTATTGGAGAGACAAACGTCCTCTCAGAGCTAATAACACTGGTGGACATATGGTAGAGGACACCACTGATAATAGCACCGATACTAAGTTAATAATAAATTCACTCGATTATCAAAAATATGCATTGTTATATAATATAAAAAAAAATTTCGTCTGAACATTTCCGAACACTTACCCACATCGTGAATGAAGCGCTCAATCTTGGACTGCATGCCCCAGTATCGAAACTCCACTTTACACAACTTGTAAGCGCACATGACAGGCATTTTGCCTGGGTTGTTGTTGATTTCCGCGATCCAGTCGTCACACAGGGGGCCCCGCTGGGTTTTATATGACTTGTAGAGTTTCGGGTCTTCCTCAGCCAGGTATTCATGAGGGGCGATGAAATCATTCACAATATCGATGGGATCTGTAAAACAACATTGGTTTCATTAGCGATCTCATATTTTTGGGAGAACAAGGCACGAATGGTGAACAGGTTCATATTTAGTCTTTTATTGCAAACCAAATCAGTTCATCACAGAGATTTTATAGAACCTTCTGAAAGGTAATAACATGGACATTAAGGCTGTAAAACCTGGTTTATCTGTTTGTCTTATGTGTCATAAAGTTTTTTCTTTTATTCATGCAGTTTTGGCACAAGGAATCGAGTTGTTCCATTAAAAAAAAAGATGATACTTTTTTCATGTCCATAAATGGAACTTTGTTTAGAAAAACTGACATGAAAATAGCATTGTTTGTATATAGTGAGTGTAGATTTTTTTTTACTCTTCTTTGTTTGATAACTTGCTTTTTGTGAAAGAACAACTCTTAAAGGAATAGTTCACCCAAAAATTAAATTTTGCTGAAAATCTGCTGAAAACTCACTCTCAGGCCATCCAAGATGTAGATGAGTTTGTTTCTTCACCAGTGGATCCTCTGCAGTGAATGGGTGCCGTCAGAATGAGAGTCCAAACAACTGATAAAAACATCGCAATAATCCACACCACTCCGGTCCATCAGTTAATGTCTTGTGAGGTGAAAAGCTGCATGTTTGTAAGAAACAAATCCATCACTTAAGACTTTTAACTTTAAACCATCGCTTCTGGCCAAAATACCAGTCCATAATTCATAATAATGCTTCCTCCAGTGAAAAAAGTATTTTGTTCTCTCACATCAAAATCCTGTTTAGAAATGTTTTGGATTGTTTTTGCTTGTAAACGGTGCTTGATCTGTGCAAGTCACTCTCCTGATTCAACTTTAGACTACTTTTTCACTGGAGAAAGCAATATTATAGACAGAAATTAAAAACCCCTTGATGGATTTGTTCATTACAAATCGCTTCACAAGATGATTATTTGTGGATTATTGTGATGTTTTATCAGCTGTTTAGAATCACCCATTCACTGAAGTGGATCCACTGGTGAGCAAATGATGTAATGCTCAATTTCCCCAAACCTGTTGAAGAAAAATTCATTCACAGCTTGGATGACCTGAGGGTGAGAATATTTTCAGCAATTTTTCATTATTGGATGAACTATCCATTTAATTCAGAGCTGTAAACTTTACTGTGTTAAAAACCTAGCTTTGTAGGTCTTCAATTATTCACAGTTGCGAGGTACAGACTGTTTGCTGATCTTGGGTTGTTTCCTGTTTGCAGACGGCCGTGTCATCAGACGGCCTCTAGGTGTCTCCACAGCACACTAATGAAGGTACATGTTTTCAGTCAGGAATGGAGTTATGTAACAGCATTCACTGGGCGCTTCCCCCTGCAGTGCCTGCGTCTGTCTGTGTTCAGCTCAGAAAGCCTCCAGTACCTGTCCCAGAGTGCAACGCTCGTGCCGTGGCACGTTACTCAACAGCAGCATGGTACTATGTCAAAGAAGCGGCATGCTGTCTGCATCTTAAACATTGAGGCATGACTCGAGAGCTCTTCCTGCTGGATTGCTTGAGATTGGTTTCACAAGCAAGCAGGGCTCATGTGGTAAAAAGCATGCTAATGACCTCATGGAAATGCAATTGTTCTAGATGCTCAGTTGTGCTTTTCCATTTCAAAAACTGTCAAAAGCATCAAATATATGCGTCAAGCAGAGTAAAAATAAAGAAGGTGCAACAGTACCTATATCCCGTTGCCTCTTTTCGGCCGAGGACATGTTGAAGACGTCATTCTGGCAACCCGTGTCCGGCTTGTAGTACGTCTCGATATCGATGGAAAACTTTTCGACGAAAGGACACGTGTAGCTGCAGGACAGGCGAGGAGAGATTAACTCTGATGTAACTTCATCATATCAGTGTCATGCATTAATGCAACCGCTCAGCAATGAGGTTCATGCGAGTTTATCCCTTTTTCACAATGGTGTTGTCTATACCTACCATGACCCCTTCATTAACCCTTTCACAAGTGATTTTTTAAAGTAAGCTTCCGGTGAACTGGGAGAAAAACAGAGTAAACTTTATAGTTATCTACACAAAGTGTATATGAGATCAATAAAACATGTTGTCAAATTATATTTGTAAGGATCGTTATTGCCGCTTCCATAGACATCAGTGTGTATTTTACAAACCTATGTGCATTTAAATGTCTGAAACCTTCAATAAGTATTATATGGTTGAAAACACTGAATAGCTGTGATAATATGAGAAGAGCTGAGCGTGTTTGTCTCTGGCTCAGCACCAGCCAAAGCGCGAAAGCAGATTTTAATTTAGCAGTAGATCACATGACGCACTGAACGTTCTAATCACACCAGTGTGATCGTATGCGTCAAAGGGTTAATGAACAGATATATGTTTATTGCAGTGGGAGTTGAGCTGAACTCAACACGCTTTGATGCAACATTCCCTATAAAACCAAAAAGATGCATTGAGAAAGTAAACACGGGTCTATTTTGATTCCATGTTGACTTCAAGATCAAAACAGCAAGGCATGACTTGAATGTTAAAAGCTGTTGTGAGTATTTACCGGAGCACTCTTGAAAGAGAGCCAGAGGGTTTTATTATTAGGAGATAGTGCACTTACCGTGTGCGGGTGTATGGGTAGGCGTTCCAGGATTCCTCTTCCACACGAAGAGCGGCTTTTGGCAAGATGGAGCGAAACCAGCTAGGGATGTGTTGGCCGATGTGGTAAACCTTGTGGGTGTATTGACCAGAGCCGCCTGGGCCGTCCGTGTAGGGTCGGTTCTCCAGGATCTCCACCCCGCTGCCCTCGCCTTCGCTCTCTTCACGACTCTTTTTCTGCAGGGAGGGAAAGGTCAGGAATTAGGGTTCACAGACTTCCAAAAGGACTGGAATTATTATGAAGTCAAGTCAAGTCACAATTATTTATAAATATTTTTATACAATACATATGGTTTCAAAGCACCTTCACATTAGTAGAGAGGAAAATAACAGTGTTAATGCTGAGGAAATTCATCAATTATGAAACCATTTCAATTTCAGCTATAAAGCAGCTCTGCAAAAGACAATAACAGTGTTGATGTTGCAAAGTTAGTGTTGTTATCCAGCTCGATTCAGTTCATATTTGTTGCTCAAAATTGTTGTTTCTATTCAGATCAATAACTGCGTAAAGTTAATCAATTATGAAACTAATTAAATTCAAAGTTAATATTTGTTGCTCAAAATTGTTGTTTCTATTCAGATCAATAACTGCGTAAAGTTAATCAATTATGAAACTAATTAAATTCAAAGTTAGTGTCATTATCAAATTTGTTTCATTTCTGTTCAATAATTGTGTCAATGTTGCAAAATTCATCAATTATGAAACTAATTAAATTCAGCCATGAGTAGCTCTACAGAAGACAATAGTGTTGTTATTCAGCTCAATTCTAATTCAATTCAGTTGAATGAGTGTCAATGCTGCAAAATCTATCAATTATGAAACAAATTCAATTCATCTATAAACTGCTCTACAGAAGGCAAAAGTGTCATTATTCAGCTCAAGTAAGTTCAATGTTGATTCGATTCAGTTGAATGAGTGTCAATGTTGAAAAGTTAGTGTCATCATCCATTTTAGATTCAAATTTGTTATTTCAATTCAGTTCAATAACTGTATCAGTGCTGCAAAGTTAATCACTGAGCTATAAACGGCTCAACAGAAGACAATAGTGTCATTATTCAGCTCAATTCCATTTAAATTTGCTGTTTCAATTCAATTCAATAACAGTGTCAATGCTGCAAAATCTATAAACTATGAAACAAATTCAATTTAGCTATAAACAGTTCTACAAAAGGCAACAGTGTCATTATTCCATTCAAGTCAATTCAATGTAGTTTCAATTCAGTTCAATAACTGTCAATGTTGCAAAGTTAATCAAGTATGAAATAAGCTCAATTCAGCTATAAACAGCACTACAAAAGACAATAGTGTTATTATTCAGATGAATTCAGTTAAAATTTGATTCAATTCAGTTCAATAGCTGTGTCAATGTTGCAAAGTTCATCAATTCTGAAACACAATTAAATTCAGCTATAAACAGCTCTGCAGAAGACAACTGTCATTATTCCAATCAATGCTGATTTGATTCAGTTGAATAGCAGTGTCAATGTTACAAAGTAACTATCATTATCCAGCTCAATCCAGTTCAAGATCTGTTCTCATCCAATAGTGTCAGTACAGTTAAATCCATAATATTACGCTGGGAGCTTAAAACCTCCTTAGGAAACTCAATGTTAATGGAAGGTGACAGTTTATCCCAAAAGAGAATTGACTCCAACCCAAGAGAAGTCAACTACATGCTCAGCGCTACTGGTGCTGGCCAATCAAAAAAAGCCACACCTTCAGCTTTGTCGGTAAGATAAGCCAAGACTCAGTGTGACTGCCAGCAGACAGAACCGTAAAAAATAGGGTACAATCTTGGCACGGCTCCTGAGCTGTGAATTCTGGGAGAAGGCCCACTGTGCCAGTCAGGGTGGCACATGCCATCGTATCTGCCTTGCTTAAGAAGGTCACACAAAGATAGTTGGAAGCATCCGGTGGCTAATTGCATACCAACTTACTTATGAAGCCATCAGGGACACGTTTGGCCCACTTAGGTCCATTATGGGATTGCCTAAACGGGGAAGCAGGGTGCCTACCCTTAAATTTGTGTCCCAGGCCGTGAATGCGAACGTAGGATTCAGAACACAGTGTCAAACATCAACATTAATTCTGTACAGCATTTTTTACATTTCTATTTTCAACTAACTGACACTGATGTAGGTGTAATTATGTAATTGTTATGCGTCCTCTATGCTTAAATAAAAAACGGATGATGACAGGTCAGTGAAGCTGGCACACTGACAGGGCAGATGGCCACACAGATCCCATCAGCCGTGACTCTGCATTAGCAAGATGATAGTGGGGTGATTAAAAGCTGACAGCGCTTGCCTAAGACCTTCATTAAGGTGAGGTTTGTTTCAGAGACGGAGAAGAAAGTTATAGCGTTTTCATTTCGTCTGAGTGCTCTCATGAGACAACCGCATGGCCACTGAATTCCAGCAATGTCTAAAGATGGAAAACGTTGAAATGATATTACTGCTGAAGCTGCTAGTATTTCTTTATAACCTAACTGGCAGATCTCCACTGGTGTAATATATATTTTTTTCAATAATATTTTTTATAATAATGTATATTTATATATTAAAATGATAAATTTCTTTTATCAGTTTATTTAGGATTTTTGTTGAACGATAGATAGAACAAATGAACAAACGATAGATAAACAGATATACAACGATAGAACGGTAGATAGATAGATAGATGCATTACCTGTGTTACAAAGTGTATTTTCATTACAATTTAGTGACAATTCCTCTTCCTTTCATTTCAATTCCTATTCAACTTCCTGTGTAATGTGGCAAATTCAATTCAAATTAAGCCAATTCTTCAATTCTGAATTTTGCATATGTGTGACTGGCACGGGACATGAGGTGGCTTTTATAATTTGTGCCAAATGGTCTCGCCCCCGAGACACCTCAGAAACGATCACTCTTGGCCTCTCAGATTCAGGGGTTTCTAATGCGTCCTCAATCACCGGATACGTGGTGAGTAATACATTTCCATTTTAAAAGCACAGGCCTGTGCCAGCAAGGGAATAGCAGTCGTGCCTCTCTCAATGTCAGACCGCTGCTTCTCTCTCTCTCTCTCTGCAACGCTACTGTCAAACTCGCAGACTGCACTTTCAGGACTGATGTCAGACCAACACATTCCACAGAAATGCGTGTGAAGCAGGAGCCCGTTGGAGGCGATTCTGTGGGTCTGGAGCTCACATGTGCTGAGCAGGAAGAAACGGGCCGATCACGTCCTCTTGTTAGAGAGGTGAGCTGTCAGCAGCTGGAGGTGGCAGGCGGGACAGACAGACGAATGGCAGGCAGGAGAGGGAACAGGTGACAGAAGCGCTGGGCTGCGGTATCTGTTTTTGCTCATCCTCCCAGCGTTCAGTCGCCAGCACTTCATTATGGCGCTGACAGATGACATCAGGCCCCGCACCCGCTACAATCAATCCCTCGCACACACACCTTAGAGAAGAGTCTCGATACCCTAAGGCTGTGCAGTAGAATCATAATGCGATGTTTCTCTACAGTTTCGCGTTGTTACTTTAGAGCAGCTCTTTTCAACAGGTTTTGCTTCAGGACCCACGTTTTTACATTAAATATTAAATGGCAACCCATTTAACACCAAAACTGTAAAAGTTTGAAAAAAATCAAGCATGACATTTATTAATAGGACTGCACGATCTAGTGGGAAAATATAACTGCAATATTTTTTTATAAAAATTACGATTACGATTTTACGAAAAATAATTCCAGGTTTGCTGTGCTTGTTTAGGGCTGCACAATTCGGCCAGGATTTCATGATTATATATCAATATAGTTATTATTATTATTACTAAAAAATACATATAAAAATGACTAAATAAAACAAAAAGAAATTTTACGATTGTAATTTTACTGTAAAATAAAAAAAAAATAAGTGTTTAAGAAAAATAACAAAAACAATTTTATTTTACTTTTCAACAGTAAAATTACAATACTAATATTAAATCTGTCTTAAAGGGATAGTTCATCCAAAAATGAAAATTCTGTCATCATTAACAGTTGCTGGTCCCCACTGACTTACTATGGAAGTCAATGAGGACCAGAAACTGTTTGGTAACCAACATTCTTCAAAATATCTTCTTTTATGTTCAACAGAGAGAGAAAAAAAATCATACAGGTTTGGAACAACTTGAGGGTGAGTAAATGATGTTAATTGTCATTTTTGGGTGAACTTTCCCTTTAATTTCTTAATTACACGAAACCATCAAACTTTTATTTTGACGGAAAGCCACAGATAGTCTTTAAAGCTTCTCTTTTGTTGATAAGGGTTTCTCATTATGAGAAGATGGTTGCCGCATGTTGCACTTACAAAAGCATGATAAATTGACCCAAACCCAGAGCATATGCAGAGATGAGTTTGATAATTGCACTAAGCTATATTGCAATTTTGTTGTTCTTGCTTAATCGTGCAGCACTATTTATTGTTATCATGAACTGCCCAGGTTGAAAAAGCACAGTTGCATTTAGCATTGTTTTTTCCTCTAACCACAAGCTTATCAGGACAGACAGTGACCTGTTTTTGGGCCACAACTCACCAGCTGAAGAACCAGTTTTTCAGTGCAATGTGTTTAAATAAACCACCTCACTTTGCACAGTCTACTGTATGAGATGCTGAACTCGCAAAAGTGAAGCAAACAGCATTAGAGAGAATGATCTCGCTTGTGCAATTCAATTTAGTTATTGTGATGCATGTATTCAATCATCATTTGAGGAATTGGTGATGTCTGTGAAGGATGAGTAACGCATCTAAATTTAATACTTCTATTATTGACTTAGTATTTGCATGTGCAAGAAGACGCAAAAGATAACTTAATCGCACCTAAACTGACAAATACACATAAATATATCAGAATGCCCATCTGAACGTGAATAGCTGGGAGAAAACCAAATGTGTATCAGTATATTAGATCTGTGTATTAGGTCTTAAAGAGACGGTAGCCTAATAAAACATCTGCTGTCAAAAAAATCAAACAAGAAAATAAAAAGAGAAAACCATTCAATGCTCGATCAAATAACTTTTATAGCTTTAATAAGGATTAATCAATATTTAATTTACACAATGAAGACTATGCAGTTATTCAACTTGTGGTTTTTCCCAACACTACTCTTAAACCTACCTGAAAAACTTAAATCACTGTTCATTTTATTTGTATTTTTGT